TAAGTTCTTGTTTTGGGTTACATAATAAATGAAATCATAGTAGAAATGAGTCGGCCATTGGCTACTCACCAAACCAATGGCATAAGGGACAATAATAATAATATTACAACAACACTTAACAGCAGAAACAGTGACAGCCCCCCTTATTAAATGGTCTTAAGTTTCTCAAGGCACTTCCCCCACAAATGTCTAATATAGTAGACAGACCAAGGATAATTGTTATGCCATTTTATAAATAAGAATATGGAAATTTGGAAAATTTAAGAGATCTGTCTGGTGCCCCAGAACTAGTAAGCATCAGAGGTGGGATTTGAACATACGTATTCCTGATGTTAAAGGCCATTTCACCTTTACCTCCACCAAACTAATGGTCCCAAGTAGGCTGAGATCACTTGATTTCTTAAAATCAATTTTTGTTTTAGTCAAGTCACCAAGCACTTATTAAGCACCTGCTATGTGCCCGCCGCTGTGTTAAGTTCTGGGGATACACAAAGAAAAAAAATAATGCATCAGTCCCTGCTCTCAAATAAATCAAAATCTAATGTAGGGGAGACAGCCTGCAAATAACTAGGTACACACAAACACATACCCCAACACACATCTACGCGCATATATAGATGAATAACATATACGTGTGTTATTTGTCTAAAAATATAAGCATGCCCCTCAGGTGACTAAGTAGATATGAAATGAGGTTGGGCCCACTTTTGCAGAGACTGAGAGAAAGGCCAAGCCTACGCTACCAACATGATAGCTATGGGGTAGGGGAAGGGGGAGATGAGGTCCCCTAAAGCCAAGACTAGCTAATCTTGCTTCCACTCTTCAAGTGGTAGAAGGCATAGCATATGTCTGGTCTAGAAGTATCAATTTCTGGTCTAGAAGGAAAGCTATTTTCCTGCTCGCTCCTGAGGGAGAGAGTAACCCTTAAGTTATACTTACCACCTTACTTGTGGTCATCCAAATACTAGTTACACAAAAGACCATAACAAATAGCAAATAACAAATAAACCAATTTATCCAAGAAAAACATCAGATAGTAGGGAAGTTATGCATAAAACTCACAAGACTAAATATTAGCTTCACCTGAGAATAGTATTTTAGCTCAAAGCAGGAGAGAAATATCACCCTCATTCAGGGAAGGGCCCTCTCAGAAGTAGCTGGAATTGCAGGCAATGGAGGTCAGAAACATGAGTGGATTGGCTGCCATAGATAATCATACATCACAGGGTTACAGTCACCCATTCATTGTCTTCATCTCTGTACCACCACTGAGGAGATCCTTTCTCCACATGTTTCTCTCGAAAGTATCTGGAACCAACGAATACATCCCTGATAACGACCAATGTGCACCATTGTTATTAACATCTTTTAGTAGGTAGTCACATCTCTCTCTGCATATGCAGGGAATGTGAAACTGTTGAGTCTTTGAATTTTTTGCTATCCATGTCATTTGAAACTTAAAAGATTTTCATTGTCTTTTCACTTTAATTCAAGTCAATAAATAAAGTCCTTTAAAATTTCTCTCCTTGGGGCAGCTAGATGGTGCAGTGGATAGAGCACCAGCCCTGGATTCAGGAGGACCTGAGTTCAAATCCGGCCTCAGACACATAACACATACTAGCTGTGTGATCCTGGGCAAGTCACTTAACCCCATTGCCTAGCCAAAAGAAAAAAAAATTCTATCTGTGTTATGATTCTAGATACTTGGAAATTTCTTGATGTATAGCCTTAACCAGATGGAGATGGTTAATCCAACAGGAAGTCTATGGATTTAATGTGCCCCCTAGCTCTCATCTTGCATCATAGTTTATGTAAAGTTACTGAGATTGAAAATAGTTGGCTTTGGGTGAAGTTGACCTCAATTGATACCAAGGTTACCTGTCTTCTGATAGCCCACTTCCCTTGGCAAAAGAATCAGAGAATCTGGCACAGGTTGACCCAAGACTTTCTCTCACCTATTAAAGTATGTGCTTGAGTTTTGGTAGTTGTGGAAAAATTTAGTGCTTTTTTATAGATACGAAAAAAAAGATATCCAACTGAATTTTATTTAGGGTGTTTTTATCATTGTTCTTTATGAACCATAAAAAATGGAATTTAAGTCTATTGAATTCATTTCAATTCAATACAGCAAACCTGGATTAATAAGCACATGTTATGAGGAAGGCACTGCCTTGTATACAATAGGACATTTATAAATCCTTGTGGGAAAAGTGATTTAACAAGAAAAATAATGATTGTTGGCAATTGAATGCTTTAAAAACTTAGATTTCATCATTTCCTATCCAAACATCAGTTATTAAGCACCAACTATATGTACTCTGCTAGCCTTTTGCTGAAGCAATTGCTATTCTCCTGCAGAGAGTAGACTACATTTGCAGGATAAAATGGAGTGGCCAAGAGAACTAGTAACTTGTTGGAGGAGGTAGGTTGAGGGTGGGATAAGGAAAAAATTCCTATGGGAACAGGCATTTGAGGTGGGCCTTAAAGAAAACTAATGATTTCCTTGTGCACCCATACGCAATAAGGAATTTATTGTAGCTCACGTGATGTGGCCAATTTGGGGTGTTCTTTTGGTCTGTTTCTTGTTGTCCAGTCATTTCTCAGTCATGTCTCCCTCTCCACTGGGGGTTTTCTTGGAAGAGATACTGGAATGGCTTGCCATTTCCCTCTCCAGCTCATTTTATAGATAAGGAAACTGAGGTAAACAGGGTGAAGTGATTTTCTCAGGGTCACACAGTAAGTGTCTGAGACCTGATTTAAACTGACAAAGATGAATGTTCCTGACTCCATGCCCAGAACTCTGTCTATTGAACCATCTAGCTATTACTAATCCAAAATAAAGTCCTTTCTGAAACCGAGATCTTAAATATATTGTTGAGCTTATAGATAGATGATATTCTTTTCTGTTTAAAGATCATAAATTTATAGCTGGAAAGGAACTCAAATTCTAGGTCAATGAGTCTAATCCTCTAATGCAACAGATGAGGAACTTAAGGCCCAGAGTCTTGCCCAGTACCTCACAGATAATGAATATGATAATGGAGACTGGAACCTAGGTCTTCTACTTCTTAATAGTAGATATAGTTCATTGCACCACAGTACCTCACAATAGAATCTTCTGTGTTTCTTAAAGTGATTATTATGAAATCTGTGGAAAAACTAATGTCTCAGAAGTAACAGGAAAAAAAAGACTATTAGAATAATGTTAAGATGTGAAGAATGGAAGATACTGAAAATTGCCAAAAGATGGCATTTATTTTTTTTATCAAAATCATCACTGATAGAAAGATTAGTGCTGAATTTGGTGATCTGAAAAGACTTTTAGAGACAATCTTATTGAAAATCATGACAGATTCAGGAAAGGTAACATATAACAAGATAGTGATGCTTAATTATGAGACAAGAGGAGATAACTGGCTCTATTTTATAAAAAATATAACTAGAAAATAACTTTCATTTGAATATAATTCATTTGCATTAAAATTTTAGGATATTTTGTATAAATGGTAGTTTAGGAAGGGAAGGCTATAATTCTACGTTGTTATAAATCATTCCAACACTAGAAAAGAAAGTTTATCTTATAAAGCCATATAATTTTTTATCTACAATGTTGAATTTCTATGGGGAAGATGAGAATTTTATTGAATGTTAATTTCTTTCTTTCTTTACATTCATTATTAAGTCAGATAGTCTATGATGTATGGTATTGTATGGGAGAAAGAACACTGAATCTGAAGTCAAGAAAGGCAAGGGTTCAAATCCTGGTTCTAGTATTTAAATCAAATTGACCCTTGGCCCACCATGTAGCACCGATGGCATCCCACTCATGTATGAGGTCCCCAAAAGGCTGACCCAAATTCAAGGAACCCCATGGATATTCATACATTCATAACTCATAATTCAGTTGTCCCAACCAAAGTGGTTAATTTACTAGTCAGGAGGAAGGCACAATTAATTCAAAAGAAAGGCATTTAATGAAATAATATAGTGAGGAAAGATCACCACCATTCTAAAATCTGGGCACACTACCACAAATACACATGAAATTAATGGAAAAGTAAGTACTTGTGTGGATCAGAAATGAGAAGCACCAACATAAGGCACTCTAGTCCAAGGCTTAGACCTAAGAAATGTATGAAAACTTGCACATCTCTTCTAGTTTTGTTTTTCTTATTTGTAAAATGGGCTAATTATATTTGTGTTATCACTCTGAATTTTTAAACTCTCAAGAATGAGATTCTTAATATACTAATCCATTTATTAACCCTTCATAAACTATTTTCTATATGTTAAGTGCTAAGCTAGCTGCTCTTCTTGGCACAAGGTAGAACAGAAATAGGACTGAGGAAAGAGAATGAAGGCCAGCCTTGGCCCCTCCATTAAAGGTATGCTGCTAGAGGAACTCACCAATAGGAGAAGAGGGTACACCTTATATAGAGAGGGAGGTAGTTCAAATATTATTGCTATTATTATTATTATTATTATTATTATTATTATTGTTATTATTGTTATTACTATTTGATTGGAAAAGAAAGCAACTTACCCAGGATGATAACACATAAATATGTGTTGGAGGGAGGATTTGAACCTGTCTTCCTGATTCTGCATTTAGGCCAATAGTCTTCTATGATGCCTAAACCTCACAGAATCAGATTTACTTAAAATTAAGCCTCAATGTACTTGAATTATAAAGAATAAAATGTCAGTTCTACTAATCTCTTTTACATTCATTACATCACCATATCAAAACTACAGTGGTGTGAGAGCTCTTATAAGGACTGCCCACATCAGTGGAAATAGCAACCTGTTTCTAACTTAGTAGATAAATATTAGAGATTGTCTGATGCTTGGAGATGCCAAGTTATTTGTCCACGGTCACATAGTTAGTAACTGTCAAAGTAGAGACTTGAACCCAGGGCTTCCTGACTAAATGTCCAACACCTAAGATGCGTATTTATTTAATGAATCAGCTGAACTAACCTTTCTGAATTTCATTTTAGGAAGAACTGAACCCCATCATTGTCACTCCCCCCATCCAAGCCATTGATCAGGACCGGGACATCCAGCCACCTTCCGATCGGCCTGGGATCCTCTATTCCATCCTTGTAGGTTCGTATCAGCTAATCTTTTGTCACATTTCCATCAGTGCAGAGTTGGAATCAGACAGACATAGTATAACATACTATCTGGAAAAAAGGAGAAGTCATTTGGGCAATCAAGGGGAGAAGGTTGTTAAATTCAAATTCAATATTTAGGATTTTTTTATCATTTCTGAATATTTCTACACAATTTCTGACATTTGTGCCTGTTTCCAAATTTCTCTAGCTTAAAAACAGTATTTGAGATCAAGTTCAGAATGGCACTGTTGTAGTTATGTAGAGTTGGGCCTATGGTTAAATGGAAAGGAAAAAAAGAGGTGAGATAATGGTATAAAAGGGAGATAAGATTTAAAAAAAAAGTCTTTCCTGCACATGATCTATTCTAGTGGGTTATTAGAATATTTACTTCATTTGCAAACTGATTGACATCAATTTAAGAGTATCCCTCACTTGCCACACAGCACAAACTGTTTCTTTCTAACAATGGAGACATAAAAGAGAAAATGATAAAGGAGCACCTTTAGGCCTCATATATGGGGCATTAATCAGTTTAAAACCTAAAAGATCCTTGGCCTTCTCTGGGATTAGCTCTAGATAACTCTTCTGAAAACTGTTAGAGAACACAATTAAATTAACTCAGATTTCAAAAAAAGCTCATGCTGTTTTAATAGACACTTCAGCTGTCCTTTTCTCTGTATTCTAGGATGCGCGCTCGCTCTCTCTCTCTCTCTCTCTCTCTCTCTCTCTCTCTCTCTCTCTTTCTCTCTACCTCTCTCTCCTCTCTTTCTTTCTATTATTCTCTACCTCCCTCTGTCTCTGACTCTGTCTGTCTCCCTTCTTCCACCCCTTCCTCCTTCCTTTCCTCCCTCCCTCTATCTCTTAGCATCACAAGCATTCATGTGTTAAGCAACACATCAGATCTGTGCGGTTTCCTAGTTAGGTTTAACGCATGGTATAATTCCTGATTTCACTGCAATGAACACACCTCCTAACAGGAGCCACAAGGCACGTTAAACTTTGCAAGTGTCTGCAGAATCTTATGAGAGCCTTCTTCATGTCTGTGTAAAGAGACTGCTAATCATGCCAAAGGTATAAGGTCAGATTATGTTGCTTTTTTTGAAATGTTCTTTCATCAGAGCCAAGACTAAAGTGAGGTGACTAGGATTTTCCCCCAGGTAACAATATCTGGAAGACCCAGGAAGTATGTTTACTCCTTAAGCAAGAAGAAACAATACAGGTTAAAATTTTGTTTGGTTTTGCTTTCCTAACTGGTAACAGAAACTCCGTTATCCAGTATTTAACAGATGACTATGGAAAAAGAGGGCAGCTAAGTGATTCACTGGATAGAGTGCCCACCCGGTGTCAGGAAGACCTGATATCAAATCTGGCCTCAGACACCTCCTAGCTGTGTGACATTGGGCAAATCACTTAACCTTGTTTGCCTCAGTTTCCTCATCTGTAAAATGAACAGGAGAAGGCAATAGCAAACCACTCTAATATCTTTGCCAAAAAAACCCCAAATGGGTCATGGAGAAGGAAATATAACTGCAAAAAAAAAAATGATTCAAGAACAATAAAAGAGGCTGTTTCCTACTAGGCTGCTGTTTACTCTTTATTTATTACGCAATTCAACTGTGTTGTGACTTTGTATACAACAATTTATTTTTCTGAGGATCAGATTGTTACCTAAACAGTGAGACTGGTGATATTAATTTGTTCCCAATGCTTGTTTTGGAGTTTAACTAGTGGCAAATTCTCATGTTATGTATAATGATTTAGATGTTTCTTTGGTATGTATAGAAGATGTTATTATCTTATTCAATTTATAATTATTGTATACCCACTGAGTACTTACTTAATTTAAATGCTGCCCGTGCTCACTATTAACATTACTAATTAGAATGATAATGCCAAATGAATATTTTTTCATTATGAAACGTTCATATTTTCAGAATAAGAAAAAAATAGAAAATTAAGTAAAGAAAAAAACGTTTTCCCCAAAATAAATTAAAGAAAAGTTGGTATTGATTTGTGTTATAGCAATTTTTATGATACTTGGTCTTTGGGGTGCTGAATTCTTGACATTGTTCTTTCTGGAAGCCAGGCATGGCTTGAGAATTTTTTCTGAGTTTTTATTTCTAAGTCAGGATTTTCTAATAGAAGGAAAACCAGAGCTGTTACTGTTAAAGTCTTTTTTTCTTTGTCAACATTGTTTATGATTTCTAGAACAGAGACCTTGTTCTTCAACCAATGCATTATGCTAAATTGTATTTAAAATCAGTTGTTGTATGAGTTGGGATATAGGTTGATTTTACAGAATCTAAGCACATTGGCCTTGGTGAAATAAAGTTTCAGCCCAAGTCTTTCCTATTAGAGAACAGGGAGATTTCAGGCAACTTTGCCCTGAATTTCTGGGGCACAAACAAAAATGCATTTTTCCTGAGCTATCCTAATGAATCCATTCCAAATAAATACTCAGCCTCCAACATCTTTCTGTTTGCCTTAAGGGCTAAAATTCTTTCATACTAAGATATATTCTTGCTTAGACACTGCTTGGTGCCATATACTAAATTATTCACATATGAGCTATTCAATCATGAAAATGGTGCCGAAAATATTTATTTCACCTTATTGGTTTCTCTGCACTTTTATCTTTCCTTTCTGGATGTGATTATGAACCCTATGGATAAAAGATGAGATGTTTTATAGTATTTGGATGTATGGTAGAGATGCATATTAGATTCTCAGTTGGATTGCTAATACAAGGAAGGAACAAATGGTTTAAAGAATGATTTCAGGGGCAGAGCCAAGATGGTGGAGTAAAAGCAGTGACTTTCTCAAGCTCTCCACCAGACCCCTACAAATACCTGTAAAAATAGCTGTAAACAAATTCTAGAGCAGCAGAACCCACAAAAAGATAGAGTGAAACAAATTTCCAGGCAAAGACAACCTGGATGGTTGATTGGAAAGATCTATTGTGCTAGACTGGGAGAGGAACATAGTTTGGCGTGGGCGCACAGGCAAAGACAGGCCTCAGTGAACCTGGAGCAGGCCCCAGGGGACTGAATCACAGGCAGTTGTGGTGGTTTCCAGACTTCTTAACTAATAAACTCCAAACTCAGAAGGTCAATAGGAAAAGTCTATGACTTTATTCACAGAGAGAGACACTTAGTCCCAGTCCCAGCAAAGCCCCAGGGTGGCAGCCGCTTCCTGAGCTCAGCCCACAGACTGAGGGGGAATTGAGTGGCTGATCAGAGAGGGACAGAAGAGATCTCTTTGCTGGTGCTGAGGCAGGATTCTCTTGCTTTGCCTGTGATTGGATCTGGGTTGCAGTTCTGGGTGGCAGTCATGGGGTAAGGAGCACTACTGTTCTGGAACTCGTAGTGGTGGTACAGAGAATATTCTCCTCAAAGTTCCAAGACTGAAAAGATTGCTTGTGGTCACTTATAGACCAGAGCACAGGCCAGGAAAGGAGTAAACACCTCACCCTTGATCATACCACCTTGGAAGAACAGAAAATTTACAGGTCCCTAGAAGTATCTTTGAAAAAAGCTGCACAAAACCCCAAAGCTTGGGACGGTACATTCTCTACACTGAAAGCACACCTCCACCATAACAAAGAGTTCATAACTCAAGTAATTGTCTGGGAACATTAGCAAACTGTGCAAAATAGTCAGGCCATAGAATCTTTCTTTGGTAACAAAGAAGATCAAAACATATAACCTGAAGACAACAAAGTCAAAGTTACCAAATCCAAAGTCTGTAAGAAGAATATGAATTGGTCCCAGGCCATGGAAGAGATCAAAAAGGATTTTGAGAAGCAAGTAAGAGAAGTAGAGGAAAAAGTGGGAAGAGAAATCGGAGTGAGGCAAGAAAATCATGAAAAAAAAAGTCAACAGCTTGCTAAAGGAGACCTAAAAAATACTGTAGAAAATAACACCTTGAAAATAGTTTGACCCAAATAGCAAAAGAGGTCCAAAAAGCCAGTGAGGAGAAGAATGCCTTCAGAAGCAGAATTGGCCAAATGGGAAAGGAAGTGTAAAAGCTCATTGAAGAAAATACTCCCTTAAAAATTAGAATGGACCAAATGGAAGCTAGTGACTTTGTGAGAAATCAAGACATTATAAAACAATGAAAAGAATGAAAAAAAAAATAGAAAACAATGTGAAATATCTCATTGGAAAAACAATTGACCTGGAAAATAGACACGGGAGAGATAATTTAAAAATAATTGTAGTATCTGAAGCCATAATCAAAAAAAAAAGGTCATAGACATCATCTTTTCACAAAATTATCAAGGTAAACTGTGGTATGGATAAAAGATGAGATGTTTTGTAGTATTTGGATGTATGGTAGAGATGCATAGTAGATTCTCAATTGGATTGCTAATACAAAGAAGGAACAAATGGTTTAAAGAATGATTTCAGGGGGCAGAAGCAGAGGACAAAATAGAAATGGAAATCATCCACTGATCATCTCCTGAAAGAAATCCCCAAAGGAAAACTCCTAGGAATATTATAGCCAAATTCCAGAGTTCCCAGGTGAAGGAGAAAATATTGCAAGCAGCAAGAAAGAAACAATTCAAGTATTGTGGAAACACAATCAGGAAAACACAGGATTTAGCAGCTTCTACAGTAGGGGATTGCAGGGCTTGGAATGTGATATTCTGGAAGTCTAAGGAGATAGTATTACAACAAAGAATCATCTGCCCAGCCAAACTGAGTATAATCTGTCAGGGAAAAAAATGGGCATTCAGTGAAATTGAAGACTTTCAAGAATTTTTGATTAAAAGACCAGAGCTGGATAGAAAATTTGACTTTCAATTACAAGGCTCAAGAGAAGCATGAAGAGATAAACAGGAAAGAGAAATCATAAGGGACTTATTAAGGTTGAACTGTTTACATTCCTACATGGAAAGATGATATTTGTAACTCATGAGACCTTTCTCAGTATTAGAGTAGTTGGAGGGGAAAAAAAAATATATGTATGTATGTATGTATAGTAAAATAG